GCATCTCCTGCCACAAATATGGCAGCATCCTATATCTGAAATCATATGCTACATTCACAACATTATAATGTTGAATCTTATGGGTCTCCGGTCAGCCATTCCAGAAGGGAAGCCCACACCCCACCAATTTATATATTAAATATAACTATAAAGAGGAATGGAAATGCCACCTTTTAACACCTGTCAGTATCATCCCTTTGATGTTCCTTTCTGACTTAAGCTGGATAATATGAAAAATTCTGCCTTCTTTATGCGTTGTGAGTTGCTAAATGGGTCATCAGTGTGTGGTGTGTTCTTTTTCCTCTTAGCTCAACCAACATAAGTGTCCTCTCTTTGATCTTTGACCTGGCATAGGGCAGCTTCTTATGCTCCTATATTTTTATTGGGTTCCTTGACAGCAGAAACAAATGATGGCAGCATTTTCAAATTTCCAGGTAATCTTGTAAGTCTCTTTGGGTCACTTTTGTGAGGAAAGTGACTAATAAATCATCAGCGGCATCTTGCTATAAAGTGGCCAAATCCCAGACTCAGGAGTGGTTCATGTGCTTTTAAACTGTCTTCATATGCAATCACACTGAACTTCGCTTGTTGTTGCTCTCCACCAAGAGCTCTCTTCTAAGACCTAGATATGTAACCTGTAACTTTTGGGTATCATCATAACAAAGTCAGGCAAACCTACTGTTGATGCAAACAGCAGCTTATATAGACCTCTATATTGTTTTTGTAAATGCTTTATTACTTATAATAATGTTCCTGACTTGGTTTGAATCTTAATACAAGGACTTACTCTCATTCTTACAGAGGAGCTCTGAGGCTCCTCAAAAGCTTAGTTGGGGGTTCCTCAATGATAAATTAGTGGAAAAGGCAGCTTGCCCATTCACGACTGGTCTTCCTCTATAGTGTTCAGGTGCAGAAGAATGCTGTGTACTAGAGCACACACTCGGGCCTGACAGGTTTGACCAGTACCCATTATGAACTATGGTCATACCTGATGATGTTTCCCAGAATACTTTGCACCTTGTAGGAGTTCTGTGGCAGGCTGCAAGGATTTGTCAGCTGGTGTCTAGTCTAGTCTGCAGATGAAATGTAGCAAGACAGTCAGCAGTAGCTGGAGTTCACTTTGTGTGTGAGAATGAATGTTCAGTAAATGGCTGGTGTCCTCTTAAATTCCCTGCATTCTTTTTGCAAACTAATCAGGCTAAATGCTCAATAAACAGGTCGTCTGGAAGTCACTTGTTATCAGAAGCATGAAACCAGGTAGGGAAATCATCTCCCTCTGTCATGTGACTGCTTTGGCTTGCTAAATTGAATTGTAGTAGCAGAAGACATCTCTCCCAAAGGGTTGTGTAGAGGTTAGGCAGACCCATCTGCAATCATAAGGTGGAGGAAACTGTTCTGCACTTGTTTTGTGAAATATGGAAGGGTTATAAGTTGTTTTCACAAGTGACCGTTATACCTGCTAGTCAAGAATGTGTTTCTTGTGAAAGTTCTTAATGGCAGCATAGAAAGTAGAAATGGGTCTTTTGAAAACTGTATGTGCATTTTAGTCAATGTAACTGTACCATTTGATTTAGAAACACAGAAAATGCAAACGCTGATTAAAGCATCATTTGGAAAAATGGATAATGGCTACAGTACATCTGTTGGGGTCAACCAGAAAAGCAGGTCACAGCATTGCAGCCAGGATGGAAGGGAAGCTCTGCTATCACAACTGGGGGGGTTGTGTGAGGGGGTAGGGTGGATGGAAGGAGAAAGGAAGGCAGAAAGCAGAAACATCAAACTTTCAGCCTTTGTTCCAATAAATTCCTATTCTCCTAGCCTTGGTGTCCTTTCAGTTCAACTGATCTGTGGCTTCTGGTCTTTGTCCTGATGCAACTGACCATTCTTCAGGAGGTGTAGAGTGAGAAGAGGGTACCAGCGCATTCATAAAGAGTCCCATCTTCTCAGGAGACAAAACCAGAAGAGAAACCAAGAGAGATATCCAAGGCTGATTCTTCCAATGGGCCAAGTCCCGAAAACCTGCTTATTGGAGAGGGGTAGGAAGAAGCAAAGGCTGGCCCTAGAGATGCAGAGAGTAGTACAAGGAATCTGTTTCCCCTCTTTCCCCCTCCTCCCGTGTATATGACTGAGCCGCCTGTTCTCCCACAACGGCTGCCAAAATACAGCGAGACAGGGTATAATTACAGACACTTACTGTGGCCATTACACCACCGGCGCGGGCTGCGCAAAGTGACACACGACCCGTCAACTCCTTATTCACGCCATTAAGGAGACTCATTAGCATCTTCACTCAGAAGCAAAATTACCCTCACTGCTCATTTCAAGATGTCATAAATTTTAATTTAGGACCCAAAGATAGCACAATGGGAGCGAACAGGCTCTCTCTGGCACAGCCGCACAGGCAGGGAGGGAGGAGGGAGGCCAGGGGTGGGTGAGGAAGAAAGAGCTTGCCTGAGGAAAGATGGTGGGCTTTGTTTTTTAAGAGGAGAGAATGAAGAACATGGAGCTGAGGAGACCCAAATGGAGGTATGCTGAACCCAAGAGAGGGAGGACACCATTGTTGTGTGGAGGAGGCAGCCTGCGGTGTGAGGCTTTATGGGTGAGGCTTGAGTGATCAGGATTGTCCTTAAGTGTCAGAAGATTGACACACATGCCAGATCCAAAGGGATCTGAGACTGCCGTCAAATTATCTCTGCCTGTTTTTTCGCCTCATGAGCCACATTTTGCCCAACAGAGCTGCTAATTCCCCTCTCCTCATCTGAAATTATGTGGGCTTCATTATTTTCAGTGTGAAATACTTTACTATGAGAAAAACATCTATTTCATCCATTATTTTTTAAAGGGTAATATTATGGAAATGAAAAAGTTGTTTCATTATCACTTATCCCTTCCTCCCTCCCCCTCCTGTTTTTAAGGCACGGGCATACAAATGTTGATCTACATTTTGGTAGGCAACAATAATTATATTTCCTGATCATTTGCTCCATCATGATTCCTGTTCACTGTCTAGTGCTGTCAAGCACTGGTGCCAAATGTGCTTTGGTTCCACTTATCTGGGTGAACATGGAGGTAACCAGATCAGCTCCTCCCTGTGTTGCTCTTATTTCAAAGGACAAGGTTAAGTAGCAAAGCATCAGTGGGCTATGCAGTCAGTGTTCCCTAGAGAATAAAGGAATCTGAACTGCACCCAAGGGCTAAACTCTTGAGAATCAGGAACCCTACAGGAATGAACATAGTGTGCATTACCATTGGGAAGCGCTCGTCCACACTTCTGCCTGCTCTGCACCTAGAAAGCACAGGTCTGAGCAGTTTTCTGCTTTCTAGGCCATTTTGCCTTTGTCCCACCACTTTCCCCCAGAAAACCCCTCTTTAGTGCTAAATCAGAGTAAACATCAATTGGGTCAAGCACTAAAGATTGGGTTTCCCTAGGGGAAAGCAATGGAGCAAACGGAAGTGTGGATAAGCCTGAAGACCCAAGCTGAGAGGACTTAACAGGCTACTGATATGCTTAGAGGCCATGCGCCAAATCATTGAAAAACTTTGTGTGCTTGTAGAACACACAGCTCAGAGTCTCTGCTGAATGTAGCAACTTGAGTCAAATTCAAGATCATTCAAATTAGCTCTCTTGTAATACCTTTTAACCTTCTAAGCATACTCATTGGATAGTTAAAGTCTGGGCATTTTTTCAGCTGGAACTCACCAGAACTCAATGCCATTATATAAGAGAACAAGGGAGGCATTATTGGTGAGTTCCAGCACCTCCTTTTCTAGAAAAATAGTACTAGTTATAGTGCAGTCAAAGTGTAGGATTTTGGTACTCTTTGGGGGCATGTTTAAGGTGCATCTACTTTAATATGGAAGTACAGAATCAGGGAGAATTGGTGCACTTGCCATACACATCATAACAACATGGCATAACAGCATTTCTCAGGCCCTTGGAGCCAAGAGTGCAAATGTTCAGAGGTAGATTTCTACATCATTGCTTTGCTTATACCCCATGATTCGCTTTAGACCACAACATGCAATTTCTGCTCTTACTATGAGATTGCTAGAATTTGATTCCACATGTTAAGGCTGCAATCCTTTGCCCACTTACCCTATTGAACTCAATGGGACTTATTTCTGAGAAGACATGTCTAGAACTGCAAGGTAATTCTGAAGCTCACTCTCCATCTCATGCAAGATGCAAGAATTAGGGTGTAAGAGAAGTGCTTTCATATGTATCTATTATTATTATTATTAATATTAATATTATTATTAGCAAGTGTAGCAGGAAAGAAATCCAGAGGCAGGCAGGCAGGCAGGGAAATAAATGTAGGGGAGAGGCCTAGGGAGAGTACAAAATGAAAGTGAGGGTAGGCTTGTGAGTATTAATAAAGGTAAAGGGGACCCCTGACCATTAGGTCCAGTCATGACCGACTGTGGGGTTGCGGCACTCATCTCGCTTTATTGGTTGAAGGAGCCGGCGTACAGCTTCCGGGTCATGTGACCAGCATGACTAAGCCGCTTCTGGCGAACCAGAGCAGTGCACGGAAACCCCATTTACCTTCCCACCGGAGCGGTACCTATTTATCTACTTGCACTTTGACATGCTTTCGAACTGCTAGGTTGGCAGGAGCAGGGACCGAGCAACGGGAGCTCACCCCGTTGCGGGGATTTGAACCGCCAACCTTCTGATCGGCAAGTCCTAGGCTCTGTGATTTAACCCACAGCGCCACCTGCGTCCCTTGAGTATTAATACATTAAAGGAAAAAGGGGTTTCCAGAGTGGTTCCTCCCTTTCTGTCAAAAGTTGAAACATCTGCCAGATTATCATATATCAGTCTTCAGGAAGTATTTCAAATACTCATCACAACTGCAAGACCTCTCGCCAGCTCACAGCAGAATGTATGAAGCTGGTTTATATGGAGTCTGGCTATTGGTGCCCCTAGCTCAGTATTGTCTTTACCGATTGGCAGTGGCTGTCCAAGATTTCAGGTTGGGCTCCCTTGCAACCCTACTTGGCCATACCAGGGATTGAAGCTGGGACCTTCTGCATTCAAAGGCAAATGCTCTACTACTGAGCTACAGCCCTTCCCATTCAGTCCCTTTTAAAGACTCCCCTTTGCTGTGAGAGACTTGTGCCTAAATTGCATGTAGACTAAACAGAGCCATACCATTTCCCCCCCCCCCCAAACTCTTATTGTAAAACTGCGGCCTTTTTGGAACACAGGAGTGTGCAAAAGATAGTCAGAGGGTGTTTTATAATGCCACAATCCTAGCCTACACAGCTGGTTTAGTTGCTAGGGGGTACTTTTAGGTTCTTTCCTAAAGCTCCCATGACAAATGCGTAACAGTTTGTGAATGGTGATCATGACTGCAGGTAGCTAACTTCCCACCCACACAAACCAAGCATTCCTCTTTGTATGGTGATACTACAAGATAACTAATCATATGTTCTTCATTGAAGGGTGCGAAATAGGCCGTCAGCCTTGCAGACTTCTCAGAGACCCACCATATTGTGTAACCGGAAGAAAGCCTCTGTTTGACAGGTGGTCTCCAAGCAAGGCAATTGATTAAATCTCAGAACCCCCCTCTGTTTATATGCATATTTGAATATTCATGAGGAAAAAGACACACCTCCACTTCACCCCCACAGACAGACAGTTTCAGGACAGAATGCAATTACAGGCTCTTAAACTTTACCAGTTTCTAAGGATCCATGATTAATGAGTTCAAATGTCCATATCTTTAAAAGAGAGAGAGAGAGAGAGAGAGAGAGAGAGAGAGAGAGAGAGGGTTGGTGGAAGAGGAAGCTTTAAGGGGGGGGAAAGCAACTCCAATTACAGTAGCTGAGGGAATCCAGCATGCTCCTCTGCTTATAAGTATATATATCCAGAAAGGTTATGTTAATTTTTAATGTACGAGGCTATAATTAATTTCAGTGGCTGGGTGGATTAGCCGAGAGTGTAAATTTCAGGCTTGGCTTGGGCAGCAGATAAACTAATGCCAGGGAACACCATGGAGCGAGGCACTTGGGTCTTAAGCATTTTGCTAGGCTCGTGGGGATGCTTAGAGCTGTTGCATGTGAGAGATAATAAAATAATAAAAAACGCTGGACACTTTATCTGCAAATCTTATATCCCTCCATAAAAGTGCCCCTCCTCTCTTTTTTCAGAAGAGGATTTTGAAGTATGTAAGCATGCTCATACCTCAAGGTTCTCTCATCAGACCCAATTTCAGAACTCATTCCTATTCTTGAAACATGGTCAGAGAAAAGGCCAGTACTGAACAGTGACTGGCATTCAGAAAACTTGAAAAGGTGTTTCATAAGAAAGACGCGCACCAGTCCCTTCACGTTATAGGTGGGCAAAACAAATCTCAGACAATCAGCTGTATAAGTAGAGAAACCCAGCTTGTCAGCCTCACTGGCCCTGTTCCTTTCTTTCCAGCCAAAGTGAGCATGAGGAGATAAGGGGACAGCGATAGCTTGCTCTGCCGCAGAACTGCTGTGCAACATTGACCATAGCAGTTCTCAAGCCACTTATTCCCTGCAGAGGTCCAGGGGCTGCGTCATAATTAGTAATTAATTAGGCCTAATGCTTCAATGGCCTATCAGTAAAATGATACTGATGTATCATTTGTATGCTTGATATGATGAATCCATATCATATAGCAAGATATCCCGGTGCTTGGAAAACAGATTTTAAAGAATAGATAGCCACCTACTGTCAACATGCAGAGTTGACTTTTCAGTAGGGTAGCCAACTATGCATTGCAAGACAAGAGGATTTGCATCACCAGAACAGGGTACACTGATCTCCATACGGTGATTTAGATATAATGGCTATAATTCAGATATAAATACAGTACACCTCACCATAATGAAGAAGAGACTTGGTGGCATGTGTGCCTGCTCAGTCTGTTGCCTAGGTGCTGCTAACTGTTAGTGGGCAACTTCAAGCCTCTGTAAACCAAACTAGGACTGGACAGCCCTCAAACAGAGGACAGGGCTGTCTTCTGTAAGGGAAGGCACATGATCACCTTATTCATCAGATCCTACTTACACAGCCATTAGGTATTTTGTGGATAAGGAGGAAATGCTGGAGAAGCCTACATATGGTGCCCCTCAGACTACGGCAGGGATGCGGAACCAGGGGCTCTACAGATGTTGATGGACAACAGCTCCCATTAGCTTCAGCCAGCATGGCCAAGGATGATAGGAGTCGTAGTCCATTAACGTCTGGAGGATGACAAATTCTTTAACCCTGGCATAAATAATTGTTTTCCTGAATAAAACAATGGATATATGCTTACAGACAACTAGGAGAGGTTTTCTTCCAGGACCACTAGGAGAGACTCCCCCCGCCCCCAGGTGACTCAGAATGCGAAGCAGTAATGAACAGCCATCAACTTGCCCAAGGCTTTCAGGAAAGATTGAGATGCTCCAGAAAATGAGACTTCATTAAAAGGTGCATCCTAAAAGCTAGATTCCAGTCATCTTGCTTACTTATTTACCTATAGAGCAATCCAGGCCTTGCTTGTTCCAGGCTGGAGGAGATTGGATTGGGTGGAGCTGTCCCTTGACTTGGCCCTGACAATGTCCATTGGCCTTGTGCCACCTGTGGAGTGATGTGTGCCACTCTACTGGTGCAGAGCTCCCTCTTTTGACTGCTAACTCTGTGTGAACTCTAAGAGCATTCCAGCCAGAGTTAATGGTCCAGAGTCCACTGGCTGCATTCCACTGGAGCAATAAGGTTAAAGATGATGCAAGTTCCATTTGACTATCTCAATGGGAACTTTCTAATGTGCACAGCAGCTCACTGGCAGAGATTAATATTGTTATTAATCAGTATTATTATCCCATTCTTCTATTAAAATACCCAGAGTAGTGTACAAATTATCATGAAGCCATATAATATAATAAGTAAAAATGCAAATACAATGGACAATTTCTAAAGCCAGTAGTAACAAGGTGCACCCAAGGTTTGGAACAAAGCAAGAGTAAAATGTGCTATATATTAAATCTAGCAACAGCAAAACTAAATGTTGCACATTCAAAGCCCATTGAAATAAAAACATAATCCGTTTCTCATGACTTTCAGATTAGGAGGCTGATGTGCTGCCTGCTGCATCAATGAAGCTCCTGTGTGTTCAATTTCTGGCAAGAGAAATCACCAGAGAACAGGGACAGAAAACCTCAACGAGCAAGATGCACAGGTGGAGAGTAGGACTGCAGGTTTTACAGCTCTGCCAGACATGCTTACTCGGAAGTAAGCCTTACTGAGTTCATTTGGATGTATTCCTTAGGAAACAGGCTTAGAATGGCAGCCTTAACTGACTCAATTGCTGGATTTGTCAGCTGAAGCTGTGCAGCCTGGTCTTATACCTTTTCAGCGGAGTTTACTCCTCAGTATATGTGTTTAGGATTGCAGCCATACATAGCCAAGTGGTTAATGACCACAACTCATTAATCTGCAGGGCTAAGAATTAAGTACACCCCTGTTTATTTTTTAAGCCTGTTTTAGTTTCTGTAATAAATGAAGATGAAAGCATCAAAAATACAGTTAACATCTAATGCGTGACAGCTTTTCTATTAAACAATGGATTATCTCATACTTCCTTCAGTATCTCAAAAAAGGTCTCTAGTCTTTATTGAACTGTTGTCAAGATGCACATTTATTGAAATGCAAGCAAGCAATTAGTCAATTAAAAGGGAGATAATTAATCAGCTAAAATGTTTTAAGAGCTCCACTGTTCAACAAGGCTCATGGGTAGCAGGAAGTCAATATATATATTTTCCTTTACCTTGTGCTTTTGTCTGCGACATATGTATGCATATATATATATATATGCATACATATCCTCCACATTCTGCTTTTGACCCTCATTCTAAAGGAATAATGGCCTCTGCTTTCTATGGGCTTTGGTGCAAGCATGATGAAAATGCCTAGCCAAAGAGCAGAAAGAAACTGGCCCAGGAAGGCAGGGAGCGCGTGGCCTTGAAATACAGTAAGTTTTTAAAGGAAAGAAAAGGCTCCATTATTCTTGCATTAAAGTGTCTCTCTCCCCCCTTTTCTCCCTCACTCTGTCAGTCTCTCGCTCACTTGCTGACTCCCCCAGCCTCTCCGAAGACAGATCGCTCCCTTAATCACTCTGGAAAAGAACCCCAAGCCGATATAATATTATAATTAATTAATTCACTAAAAAGGTATTAAATTTCTTTTCCCCCCTGTGGATATTATCTGAATTCATTGACCTTTAGAAAAATCACCCTCTAATTGTAACCAGGTTCAAGTGCATTTCCAGCCTGTCCCTTTTACATTAATAATATCTTCCAGGACTCCGCTATGCTACTTAAATATTGTATAAATTTCAGTGCCCCCTTAAAAAGGAGAGAGAGAGAGAGAGACTTGAAATGAAAACTGTGAGAAATCTGAAATGGCTTATGAATGGGGGGTGGGGAAGAGACCTGGTGGATTCCAGTACAAACTCAGGTGATCTATATAATGAGAGAGTGGAATGAACCCCAAAATGCAGAACCACTGTTCTCCCATACTGTCTAATGTGAATAGTAAGCTCCCAGTATACCTCCATTAATTATCTATTGTCCTCATGATGTTCCCCTCCAAATCACTGCCTTCCCACACTTCCCCCTCCCTCATTTCGGATTTTCTCATACCATCTCCTTTCGGAGTATCCTTGGTATCAAAAAATCCAGACTGAGGAAGGGGAGAGTGTGGGAAGGAAGTGATTTGACGGAGAATGTCACGTGGACAACACAGAATTAAAGAAGGTACAGGAAGTTTACTATCCGCGTTAAACAACAGTAAGGAAGAGCCCTTAGATTCCTGGTGCCTATTCCTGGGAAGTTTGGTTTCGTTTTCCAAGAACCTGATGGAAAGATGGCTGAAAAGATGACACATATCTTGCGACTTCAAGACTGCTAGATGCCATCTATGGCCAAACTATAGGAAGGCATAAAAATGCTGAACATGACAATGGAATCCCTGTGGCTCTCGTGATCCCAGCACTAGAAAAGCCAGTAGATTATCTCTAGAAATCTAGTGCTGCTGGCATAAGAGTAGATCCT